CTTCCTGCAGCTTCCTCCCGACATGCAAAGAATTATGGTGTTGTGAAAGTAGTCAACAGCCGCATTTCAGTAGATGACAGGAAATTCATACCCACAAGTCCCTATCAGGAGGCAATCTCAAGATGATGCTCTGCTCATTGTAGGGGAAATCGGAGCACTTGGAGGAAACCGGAGCAGACACAGCGAAAACATGAACACCCACTCAGAAAAGACGTAATAGAAATCACTAATATGAAGTCGCCCAGCAGCCAAACAAATATGTAAACAACATTCTAAAAACACAACAGACAGATGAATGTAGTGCAGACAAAGTAAAGTCAGAGAGGTGATGAAAGCGGGTGATCAGAAAAAGCTTTTATCCTCAGACAGATCCCTGTGTCTTTGCCCCGAAGATGCACTGTGTTTGAACCAAATCCTGTCAGAGGTGAAGACGAGGTCGGCCACGTTGGTGTGAACTAATGCCTTTGCTGGAGCTTGAATGTGCTGCTTTATAGAAGGTGATGGGGATAAAGGCTGTCTCGTGGACACTCATTCCGGCAAATACACGTGCGTAGGCAGTGTGTCAGTTCACACTCGTTGGTTGACTTTGACTAGTGACAAAAGTCCACTTCCAGGCAGAATCTGCAACACAGTCTCAGGATGTTCTGACCCGATCCAAGCGCAGACCAACTATGTCACAAGTTTCAACTAAACTTATTCAGGGAGAAGCATCAAATAAAACACACAGAATCCCCACAACACGATCGCCAGAATAATGTATCAGCAGCGAGAGTGAATGTACAGATAGGGCGCTGTGGCTAACGCTAATGCTAACATGAGCTTTGCCATGTCCTGCTGCTGCTGTGTATATCTCCTGCTTCTTTGATCACCACAGTTTTAACCTTACACAGACTTTATTTCTCCATGTGTCTCTTCTCTTCACACCGCGTTTGTAAAACTATATATTATAATAGATCCATGGTAAAACTCAGTAGAGCCTCTGTGTAGGGTGCTGCTGTCTGAACGCGGTCTTGTTCACATGTTGGCTCCACGCGTCTGTCAAGTGCACGAGACATTTGGAGAGATCCGGTCATTTATCAAACTAAAGTATTCTTTCCTTGGCAGTCTGGTGAAAGACTGAGAGTTGAGGAGCACTGTCAAACAGTATAGGCAAAAGTCTCCTTAACTCTACAGGCACCCGTACTCAAATCTCAATATATGAGACTGCAATATAAGATCTCAACGCTAGAGGCACTAGAAATTACACAGTGTACCTTTAAATCAGGAAGCGGGACGCGCAGACCATGAACAGAGACATCAGGGATTTCACCTTGGCTCACATGAGACAAGAGTGCTGCAGCAGGCGTGGTCATCTGATGGAATTGCCCGATCTGTCAGACTGACTGTATCCGGTAATAACTGCTGATGAGAGACACATCGCCTTTGTCTTGTTCAATGAACCGTCTAGACAAGACATAATTCACTTTTTATTTAATTTGAACCAGAAAAGTGTGAATGTGGATTAAATGTCAGCAGTAGATGTTCTTTAGTCTCTGAGCCACAAGAAAAGCACAAGCAAAGCAATACCTGCATTTCATTATTATCTGTTGATTGATTCTGAAGGCTCTCTGCCTGTTGCCTGTTTTAATGCAGACGCATTGTTGTGTGAAGGAAGTCTCCTTCTGCAGAGTTATTCGACACCTCTTTCTCATTTGCTTTGGTGTTCGCTCCTGTTTCCACACTGCATTGATGCTGTCAGTTATTTCTTACATAATGTCTTTGGGGCAGTTTGCAAATGACATCAACATCCAAACAAACAGAAGCTGATGGAGATGTATAAAAATGAGTATACAGTAAGCAATATGAATGTAAACAGCCAGAATAACTACAAAGTTGTCTCATTCTTTCGATGAATAACACATTCTATCTTCACATTCTATAACTTCACTCTTCAGTCGCTCAGAAGAGCTGCTAACACTGTTTGGCGTCTCTCACTCGAGGTGGATTAAATTATTTTCCTAGTTTGCCTTTATTGTATAGACATTCCTGCAGTCTGTCGTCAGCTGAAGTAATGTGTCTAGCAACACTAGTTAGTTCTGCTTTGTAATTCCCTATAACATAGCACTCTGACGGCCTCCAACAGTCGTCTGGAAATGTTCAATAGCTGTATTGTAAATAATAACGCTCTTTAAACCACATTTGAACGCAATGTCACCGGCCTTCGTGAGAGGAATGTGTCGTTCCATCAACGCGTTTTCTCACAGCAGCCAGTTCAGAGTCCGGATCAGAACCTCCTTATTTGGGCATTCCACTATCGTCCCATTGTCAGTTTTTTTGATTAAGCTCTTTGTTCTTCATATGTCTTTACAGCCTCTATGATGACAGATTGGATTTGAATAAATTATAACATACAGATAGCACATGGGCAAGAAGGGAATGAAGAACAAAACCAAACAAAAAAGGTAAAAGGAGGATCTGTATAATAACATAATAACATAATAACATAATAACAACTGTACAAGTAATGATTCTTAAAAGGGTTTGGCTCAAATGTAGGCCTGTCGGAAAATCTGCGTACATGCCCTGAAGTAGACCTTACATGGTCAAAACGCCTGCTTGGTCCCATTTAATTAATCTTTTAATTTCCATAACGGATTTTTATTTACTGCCAAGAGTACATATGTTGCAATTATTTTTTCACTGCTAATCCTGTTGAGCACCTGATGAACATTGACCAACTGAAGCACTCATCTTTCTTAAACCAATGCAGGCCTGTCGTTGCCATGTTGTGTGTCTATCAGACCTTAATGGTATATTAGGAGCAACATTACAACCCCAGTTATAATAGTTATAATAAAGCTAAAAATAATGGGATTTTTTGTTTTTGTTTTTTGTCATGGGAAATTATTAACACGTTCCAATGAATTCTTCTTTTTTCAAACATAAGAACTATGTGATCTTTGGGCCTAGAAATCTTCAAAGCAATAACCCACAGTGATTCATTTAAGAGTAGTGGTCACATTTGTCCCTGACCGTGTCTTTTATGCTCCTTTCTCCTCATGACCTTTTCCGGTGTGATAGAAAGAGAAAGGTCAGTCTGTGTCTACGGCAGCAGCCACACATGAGACACGGTGCAAACGTGTGACCGGGAAATCACTCAGGAATAACATGAGCCAAATCCCGCACGAACAAGGCACAATATTACTCTGACTTAAAGGACACATATATCGTGCCGGCGTCTGCTTTGATCTATGACTCTTGTGGATCTGTTGTGTACATTGAACTTTTGAAAGCTCAATATTGATATTAGAAAAGGAATGAATCTGCAGACTTTTGGATTAGGGAATTTTGTATTTATTTTCACTATCTCTGCAGTTCCCTATATGAGCGTGGGTACATGTGTTTCTGGTTCACTGAGGGGGGAAAATTGTGAATGTGAAGCCACCACACCTCTATTCGTCCCACAGTGAATAAATCTCAGTGTTGCATCTCAAGTTACAGAACAGTGGGAATGAGGAGCACACAACACAAGTATCGCACAACTCTATACTTTAAAAAACAAATAAAATCAATGCAAATCTGTCTCTGTCTGTATCCGTAACTATCTTTATAAGGTCAACAACCATTGACCTGCTGTGAGAAACATTTTAAAAGCAAAAGTATTCACTGCGGTAGATTCTCACCCTCAAAGTCTAAAGCTTAAGATGAATCATGAAATATTTATGTTTTTTGTGGTTCAGAGCAGACCAGTATTTCATTAAAAGCTCATATTTTTCTTGAGGATTTTGACAACAGTTCTGCTGTTATTTAACAAAACAAATCAGTTATGTTTGGATTTAACCAAAACAATTGACAATAGATTGCAAGCACTATTATTATTATTCACATTTTTTTATTTATTTAAGCAGAATCACCTAGCTTCTTTTGTTTCATAAATACATGCTTTTGTAAAGAGTCTTGTAAAATAAATATATTGAGAGTTCATTGGTTGACTGAGGACATGTACTCTGTAAAATCTGATCTAAAGCTCTGACACACGCCAACTGAATGTGAGAACTAGTGATAGAACTGTTTTAGAGCTATCTAGTTACATACATTTGTATTTGTCAATTTGGAAAAACATTAAACATGAGTATTTTTGTATTGTATTTGTTGTTTTTAGTCATATTTTTTCATGTTTTTATAGATTTTAACTTTCATGATTTATGTCTTATATGATATGGGTTTTGAGGCGCTTTGTGTTGCCTTGTGTAGGAAAGGCGCTCTATAAAAGTTTGATTGATTGATTTGTGGTTTCAAAGTTAGAGACCCCAGCTGTAACTTTTCCTGATGTGTTTGGGGTTCAGTGATTAGATAAGAGATCCTTTGTTCGTGCCACAGTGGGTAAATGTTCATAATACATGAAACGACATGGCTTATTTCGCGAGAAAAGTTTTAAAATGATATATACATGCCATCGTAGTCCATAATAAATGCGTTACTATCAATATCTTGCACGCTAATGATGATGATAATAATTTGAAAATCATTTGACGGCACTAAAACAGCCCCATATGCTCTGCGCTCTGCTCGATACCCCGGCTCCAGACAGAGAAAGGTTTGGCAGAATATGTGCCCTTTTAAATTCGCTTTCCAAAATGAAACAAGATGAATTACACATTTACAGCGTGTCGTTAAAACCCGTCAGATTTATGCAGCCGTAAACAGGGCGCTCAGAAATGTGATTAGCCTCGTAAAAGAAACTCTCTCCGCTGTCCCTCGCTCTCCCAAGCACACGCCGCAACCTCTGACAGTGCCACCCATGGGTTACATACAAAGCACCCATAGCCACCTCTGACCAGGATCCGCGCTCATAAGTCTCGCATATCGCCACGTTTATCTCTGGCCTCCTCTGGAACGCCTTTATCCGCTCCTGAATGGTCTCTGTTACGAGGCGCTGTGACATATTTGGGTTAGAAATATGGGCAGTTACAGTAATGACTGGACTTAATATGATTCTGAAGGTTTTTCAGCCGAGCTCGATGGTAAAATCAATCCATGTTTATGTTTGTATTGTGGCACAAATTACACACTCCATTTCTTTTTACTCTTTTTGCGTCGACTGGACTCTTTTGTTTGGGTTTTTAGTATGAAAGCAAGCGACACATGGCTTATTTTTTTCCATAAATAATACATTGTGTTCGTCCCAACAAAATATGTAAAGTGTAAACATATCAGTACACGAGATTCTGTTTTGAGAGTGAGAAACTAGAGCTAGATGGATTTTATTGCATAGATAAGTTTTGTTTTTGGTTCGAAAGGTGGGTTGTCCCGCTTTAAAGAACAAATAATACAGGAAGAAATAGTCAATATACTTACTATATGAAGATAATGTGTGACAGACTCATCATCCGTGAGAAACATCAAACCTTTTCTTTGTTATAATTTTGATATTTGGCTCATAGCTTCTAAAAAAAAAGAATTTTTTTTAGAAAATTTAAATATTTTGAAAATGGTCTGTAAGCCTTAATCATCAACCATCTATTTGCATGTAGTCTATATCATATATTGGTTTCACATTTTAAGTTAAAATAAATAAAAAAAAATAAGTTTGAACAAGTTTCACCTGTATGCTAGACGTATATTTCTGTGATTGAGACACTGTATTATGGATGTATTTATTTAAAACAATCCCTCCCCTTTGCAAATATGACTGGAAAGTTTTACTGGAGGAGGATAGGAAACCCAATGAAAGATCCCTCACCTCTTGGATTTGAATTACTTTCGACCAATCAGGTGGCTGTGGGGCGTGAGCGAGGGCGGGTCTAACCAGTGCTTGTCTTCAAAAAGTTTCATTCTTTTCCCAGTTTGAAAAGTAACTGAGATTCACTTTAACAAAGGCATACAGTGAAAGAATGCCATGGCAACTCATTTAGGTAGATGGAAATGTATTATTTTAGTGGCAGCTTTTACATGGACCTACGTTATACATGTGTTATAATTTGGCCCTAAAACTTGACTGTGATATTCTCTGTGTCTTCAGGTGGAGTGGTGGAAGGACAGTGAGATGATCGACCCTGCGGAGGACAGGAACTTCTACATCACGGTGGACCATAACCTGATCATCAAGCAGGCGCGCCTCTCCGACACCGCCAACTACACCTGCGTGGCCAAGAACATGGTGGCCAAGAGACGCAGCTCCACCGCCACCGTCATCGTCTACGGTGAGGCGTGTGCTCTCACTGGTGTAGGGATGGTATAAGCATCAATACACATTTTGGCAAATTTTGTTACAGTAATATTGATCCTACAGTAGCTTTTGTCTCAACATTCTTGTTGCAATATATATTGAAGCGAGAAGAGAGCATGCTCAAAAAACAAATCTCAAATAAGTCTTGATTTCAGGCTGAACTTACAATATTTCGTGGTTTCAATCTCCCATGAATCATTTCAATATCACCAACTCCAACTTAAGTTTTTGTCAGAATCAGAATTATTTTAGTTTCATTGTAAGTAACAGGAAGGTAACTAGGATATTGCTTTTAGTCTCAAAAGTCAAAGTGCTATCAAGTTGTAAGAGTAGAGATAATCCTTTATTCGTCCCTCAGTGGGAAAATTTCAGTTTCGATGAATACACATACACACATCAAGGCATTCAGCGTACAATTACTTCCGCGCTCCTTCTGGGCAAAGTGGGGTTACGTGTCTTGCCCAAGGACACAACGACAGCAGGCATCAGTGGTAGTTGGTGGAGAGCAGCAGGGTCAGTGATTGGCTGGTGCTCTGAGAAGTAGGTGGCAGCTTTGATTGCCACCTTCCCCAGAAATTGACTAATAAAGGGGTTGCTTTATCGCTCTCCACCTGAGTTTGTGTGTTTCCTTCACTCCTTCAGGGCAACTGTGGGAGAAGAAGACAGACCGATGAGCCTGGATATCGAAGGCGATGTCTTGATAAGGTCTCAGTCGAATAACGTATTACGCGGTAGTACTAGCACTCTCACTTCTCAGTAAGAAGGTTCTGGATTCAAATCTCGGTCAGAACAGGGCCTTTCTGAGTTTGCATGTTCTCCCCATGTCTGTGTAAATTTCCTTTGGGTGCTCTGGTTTCCCCTACCACCAAAAACATGAACAATAGTGCACATTTACCTTTATCCTTTCTTTTATGGTTAAAATCGGCTTTTCTTCTCTTCTGGAAATACACCATAGTCACAGGAGGCGTAGGATAATAGTTAATGACCATCAACAGTTGAATGGGATGTATTGTTAGTTTGAGATGAGTCCAGGCGCCACACTGGTCCCATCTGTGTCTGAAATGAGCTGCGTCTGCCAATTCATCCAGGACTCCCCCACCTCACCTCTGACCACAGCCAATTACAATCCACCAATCACAGCGCGGCCTTTAATCAGGACACTTCTGTTTCCCAAATCTCCATGAGCCAAAGCAGCTGCAAAGGGACTAATGATATTATTTCTGGCATTTTCGTGGCAGATAATGGTTTGAGATAGAGTTTGTATTCTGAATAGTGTTATTTTTACTTGAATTGTTCTTAAAGTCACAACATTTTAAATCATGAAGACGTCCGGGTGTTACTTCGATAATTGGGAAAAAAGTGTGTACATTATTTTTGCACATTTTTTTACATTGAAAATGATCTGTTTTATGTAAAATATGGTCTAAGTTTCAGAAACACAACCACTTCAATGTCTCTCCCTCCCTTCTCTCCCCGTCCCCTTCTTATCTCTCTCCTCTCTCGTCTCTCCTCCCCCTCCCCTTTCATCCCACCTCCATAGTCCATACGCCAACCTGTCTCCCCCTCCTCTCTCCTTCCTCGTCCCCCTCCCTCCTCCTATCTCCTCTATTCTCCCTCTCACTTCCCACCTCCACAGTCCATCCTTTCTCCCTCATCTCTCCTCCGTCCCACCTCCTCCCTTCATGTTCCTTCTGTAGTCCTTCCTCTCTCCTGCCTATTTTCTCCTCCATAGTCCCTCGTTTTTTCCCCCGCCTCCTCTCTCCTCCCTTGTTAATCATCCTTATTTTCTTCCTCCTCCTCTCTCCTCCCACCTCCATAGCCCCTATTCCTTCCTCTCTCCCTCATAGTCGATCCTTTCTCTTTCTTTTTTCCTCCTCTCTCCTCCATAGTCTCTCGTCTCTCCTCCTCTCTCTGCTTCAACCTTCCCAATCCCTCCACCTTCCTTTCTCCTCCTCCTTTCTTCCCTGTCTCTCCTCATAGCTCTCTCCTCCCTCCCCTTTCCACCCCCCCTCCTCTCACCTCCTGCCTCCATAGTCCCTCCTCTTTCCTTCCTCCTCCTCAGTAATCCTGGAGCTCGCGTGGCATGCTGTTTCACGACATTCAAGTAGAGTTTTTTTTTTAAATCCCAACTTTGACAGACACTACGTCAGAACACAGTTTCCATGCGTATAAGCTCTTACTCATACTAACAAATACCGATGCAGGTCTTTTTTGGATGAAAGAACGGTATAAAGCCCAAATAAAAGAACCAAAAAAATACATAGAATTTGATATTTTTCATATTTGCCCTGTGACCTGAAACTGGATGTTCTTCGTTTCACACAAAGAGGAAAGAAAAAAAGAGAAAAATCGATCTGATATTTAGCCTTTGTGCTCTGCTCCTCATCTCGTCTTTAAATGTCTGTGTACGCTGCAGGAGATTGGTCGCAACAAAACCATCACAAGTCCAATTTAAAGGTAAAAGAGCGGGTAGCGATGGGCAGATGCCGACGCGGGTTGTGATTTCCCATGGCGCACCTCTTCCTCCGCCTCAGGGACATTTCCGTTCAGACGTTTTTATTAACGGAAACGTCAAAATCAGGGCTGAGACCAGAGACTAATGTGTGACTCGGGAAAAAACATATGTACAACAGAAGCTGCTCTATACTCGCATTTAAAGACATATTATCTTTTTTTTCTCTTTTTTTTTTTGAGAATTTAACCATATTACAACAATGTTTCCTTCACAAATAATCTGTTTTTTATGAAGGATTTTAAATTTGTTGTAATAATTATCTGTAGTTTCATAATTTCAAGGTCTGCCAACCCATGACAGATGGCAATGATAATTCAAAAACAAAAATTATGCTCCAACTACAACCAAAAAAAATCCTCTGTTTTCCAACAAAAAGCATGAAAAATGTATTTTTATGAAGGAAATTCTAACACAAACACATGCCCCCGCCCCTTCTGCCTAAATGCTGCTGTCTCAAACCTGGTACCTGAACCCTATGCTATTACATCGTGTTCAGGGTCGTTTTCCTTCTTTTAAAACAAAAGTATTGTCTCTAAATTGGGTTTGGCAAGAAGATTTGAAGTGACTGTTTGTAATGTTTGATATTGAGAGAAAAAACAAACATGTTGACATCTCCCTCTGGTGTTGGAAGTGTTATCTTGTTATGTGTTTTCTACATGAATCACTGGAGAAACTTTTTAAATATTTGTGTTTGTTCCAAAAGTAGAAGTCTAAAACCATGACCTGCTGTCTTCCTCTTACTAGAAAACATATTATAATTTGCATAGTTGTAAGAAAGAGCCCAGCGAGTCACTATTTGACTTTTTAGGCTGAGAGGTGATTGGCCGAGTGAGGGTGGTCCACTCTTCTTCCACTTTTCTCTATGGAAAAGCTCATCTAAAGAAGTGACAGAGGCCAATAACCAGTGGGGACGGGTCCCGGCTCAAAAGTGGCCAAAATGACGTGCGCTGACATGCTTGCAATACCACCCTGGGCCGATGGGGGTGGACCCAGTAAAAGTATTATTCAATGCTAACATATAGCATTTTCTTACCTCTCGAAAACTTACATCTTTACAGAAGCTCCGTTCCACATATGTGTCAATGCTGAGGGAGTGAATTTTTTTGGACCACTCCAGTTTAGTCACTGTGAATTTTTGAAAGCACTCATTTAAATGAATGGAGCTCGTGCCGGCTGACGCATGCGCAGATGCGTTTTTTCAAATTTTCCAGCCCTCGCGGCCATTTGCCGCGAGGGCAACTGAAATATTGCAAAATATTATAACACTTCAACCAGTTCGATGTTGGAAGTTCCAAGTAACCAAGTAAGTAATCTTTACTTATATAAAAGCGCCTTTCACAGACCAGAGTCACAAAACGCTTCAGAATTGTTGTGGGAAACTCTCGCCCCACTCGGTAATGGGAGCGGTGTCGTCTGTACACAGGACGCACATGCCAGACATATTTTACATGTTTTGAACCAGAGAACCCTCAGACACAGGGAGAACATGCAAACTTGACACAGATAGGCCCTGCGTAGACCCTGGCAGAAGCCCTGGTGGTCCTGATATGAGATTATATGATTGGAGGAGCTTCCCCCGGGGCCGTGACTCTGGTGGTGGGAGCCTAAAGCGCTGGAACCGGCGGAGAAGAGAGGTGAAGCCGCAGAGGGAGGTGAAAGCGAATGAGCTGATGTGAAATGTGCGTTAAGTAGTGGCGACCTGAGGGAGGATTGGTGTGCAGCAGGTGCCGTGATGGTGGTTATTTTGAAAGACAAGTTAGATGTATTACCTTGTTTTGAATCATGAATGGGATCCGGTGTAGAACCTAGGATCTGTCCGTATCCCGGCGATGTGGCTTCTCTCCCGTCTTCCCGCCGGAATTTTACCTATAGCTTCATTACAACAGGCTATATTCGAGTTTGTACCTCAAGTAAAACAATCCAAGACTTTGAAAACAATATTGAGACTTCATACGAACTCTGCTCTTGCACATTTGAGAATAAGAAAATGCAGGCGTAGCAGACACACACATATACACAGTCACACACGCACACACACGCTGAGATGGAGTGCTCTGACACTGATGTATCTTCGCTGAAATAGATTGTTCAATCTACAGTTCAATCAGCTCCAGTCTGCGGCAGCCTCACACCGGAGCCAGAGCCAGAGAGGTGTGGACAAATACAAAGTCGCAAAACACAGAGGAGGGGGACCGGAGAGTTAATCTGACTGTAAAGAACTATGGCACTTTTTATATTTAGTTCTCAACACTTCTGTACATGGCTCATTATGACATGTATTTTAAATAAATGTACTTTTTACTTGCGACTTTGAGTATCCAGAAAGGGGCCATCCATCCATCCATCCATTTTCTTCCCCTTAATCCATTTCTGGGTTGGGGGGGTGGCAGTCAGAGCTGCACCCAGTTCACAGAGCACCAGCCCCTCACTGATCCTCCTGCAAGTGGTGAGTCCACAGGAGCTGAGATCTTTCAGTGGGGGCTTCAGGCAAAGTAGGGTTAAGTGTCTTGCCCAAGGACACAACGACAGCAGTCATCAGTGGGAGTTGTGAAGTAGGTCTTACGGTGAGCTCGAACTCACAACCTTCAGGCTCAAAGGCCAATGCTCTACCAACTGAGCCACTGTCGCGAAAGGGGCCTAATAAATAAAATGTATTATTATGATTATTATTATTGACATATGCTGCAGTCTTTTATAACTGGGGTCCTTATCTTTATTTTGTCCCGACTGAAAGCATTTTGTAAAAGTTCAAGAACAAAACAGTGGCAATATTTGACACTTTTTATTTGTATTTATTCATTTCACATCACCACAGATATCAAATACATTATATTTTTTGTGCATTTCTTAAAATGGACTCTCCAAAACCTCTGCAAAGCTTATAAATGGGATACAACTTTGCATGAACAAAAATACTTGGATGGCTGGAACAGAGGAAGTTTAGATTCCACGTAATAGTAAAACATAGAGAATAAATACAGCACATGGTAGAGCGGAGTTTGCATGTTCTTCCCTTGTCTGCGTAAGCTTCCTCTCAATCAGGGGTGTCAAAGCGGTTTTCAAAGGGTCGGTGCGGTTCCAGGATTTCATTCCAACCAAGCAGCAAGGATCACACCAGACCCCACACTGCAAAAAGTGATGAACAAAAATGATGAGCATTTTTTTTACTTATTTTTCACCACTTTTGGCAGAATGTGTTATTTGTCTTTACTTTAACATGCCAGGCTTTAGAAACGATCCTTGTGGGTACAACATACACACAGGAGCTTTGTGAGGCATATTTTATTTATTATTCATCTTTTGTAAGCTTGTTTACTGATCACATTTTAATACAAAAGCTGTAACAAGGCCAATCTTATGTCTGAATCCATTCAACCAAAAACACAATGGTTTTGTTGGTTTCTGCAGCGTTTTTCTTCCTTTGCTGTGGAAAAATGTGTTTGTTCGGAGCGAAACTCGACACCCCGGCCCCTTGGTATTTGTAAAACACTTACTGAATCTATCAAAACAAACAGTTCAATTAAACGGAACAGCGTATTAAAATCAGCAGAGTGTCCTGAGAGAAACGGCTCCACGCTCCGCCGCCTCAGCTCCTGTTTACACATTTGTAATCGTTCAGACAGACTTGTTACTTTTTTTTACGTTTAACGCTTATGATGAGACTCTATACTGTGAGATGTTATGTGTTTTTGTTTGAGGGTATCGTAGGGTTTTGATTCTTTTTTTTGTAGTATGTTTTTGTAGTACTTTGTTTTATTTTTTGATTGTATGAATTTTTTTATGGATTTTACTGTAAAGCACTTTGGTCGCTGTGAGTGTTGTAAATACAAATTGATTGAATGACAAGTAGGGTATTGGATTAAAATTTGATTTTTGCTTTGAACAATCCCATTTTAGACCATGCACAGGTTTTCTTGATTACTCTTAATATAGTTTTTTTTTTTTTTTATGGGAATACTTGTTTGTATATCTTGTGCATGTTTGAAATATTTAAACAAATGAAAAATTAAAGATGAGGGACTGGAAAATAAATAAAATGATATTCTCAGGGATAATAAGTGACACAAAGTACACTGCAAAAAAAAATATAAAATATGAGATAATAATCAATTAAGTGGTTTTTATCTTATTTTGAGTACATTCTAACAATATTTGCTAAAGGTACAAAGTAATTTTGTCTTGCTTCAAGGTAGACATTACTTGTATATCTTTAAAACAAGATAAATGTTCTTGTCCCATTGGCGGCCATCTTTACAAATGCCGCGTTGTCGCCTTGACAACAGAACCCAGGCTCCGTGTGGTGCTCGCTCTGACAGCTGCTGTTGTTGTGTCCTCAGTGAACGGCGGCTGGTCCACCTGGACAGAGTGGTCGGCGTGCAGCAGTCGATGTGGGCGGGGCTACCAGAAGCGAACACGGAGTTGTACAAACCCCGCCCCCCTGAACGGAGGTCTACCGTGTGGAGGACAGGCCATCCAGAAGCTGGACTGCACCTCCATCTGCACAGGTGAACACACACACAGCACGTTCGGTCCAACATACGAGTGAATGCAATAATCTTTCATTTTAGACGAAAAAAAAAATGACACTCATTGAAAATACATGTTTTTGTTTCTAAAGTTTGGGTACTTCACTTGTATTTCATAGATAATACATTATGTTTGCTCAAACCATATTACGTTGTCTTTATCTCCTCGGAAAACTATTGCAACAACACATCATTAGTAGAGTAAAACCACACTGCCTATCCAACGCATGGTGAATTCTGCTTTACAATGATAGGAAAAGCCAACATCGAAAGATCAAAAAGCGAAGAATATTAGTGATAGAATTATACTGTTTGAGAGCATGAAACTAGTTAAGACGGATTGTGTTGAGCTCTGTAGTCCCTTCTCTCCCGGTCCAGATGCTGGGCTCTGGGCTCTGGGCTCTGGGCTCTGGGCTCTGGGCTCTGGGCTCTGGGCTCTGGGCTCTGGAGGCAAACACTGTTTTTTTATGAAACCGTGAACTTGAGACAATAAAAAAGACAAGGCAAAGGTACAAGGCTGTGTACATCTTACTTCCGGATAAGACAATATCTGTATCCCATGAACCACACGTCCTTGAGTTTTTCACAGGCTAAATTAGGTTATTTTTTAAATGATATTTTTAAGTGTCTGAAAGCAATCTCTTGGTTTGTCATCCACACAATCATTACATTTGCTGTTTAAATACATGCCAATTGCTGTACTTGGGGAAAAGTTAAGCTCAACTGATCGAAAACCTCATAGCGTGATCACGAGATTACTAAGTATTCTTTGTATTTTAGTTCTAGGACAAAGATCTCAGAGTTTAACCTTATTTTTCACAAATAATATTGATCACCTACATACATTTGAGATCCCTTCAATAATAATAAAGGGCCTTTGGGCTGGAAGGTCATGGGTTCAAGCCCATCATAGGACCTACCCCAACTGCACCCACTAATGTCTGCTGTTGTTGTGTCCTTGGGCAAGACACTTTGTCCCACATTGCCTGAAGCTCCCGCTGAAACACCAAGGCTGTGGCACCACTGATGTAGCAGCCATCTTCCTGCAGAGGATCAGCGAGGGATCGGGGCTTTGAGCATTGGGTGGCAGCTCTCATTGCCACTGACCCAGAAATGGACAAATAAAGGGGTTGAAAAAAATGAATGAATGAATGGTTTTGTATAGAGATTTTCTCAACACTTTAAGACGCTGCACATAGCATTATTAATTCACACCATGCACAGTGGTGATAAACTACTACTCAGATTCAGATTCAGATTCATTTATTTGCCATTTGCAGTAAAACCACATAGAAAAAACTGTGCAAGACTACCCCGGTGTGCACCAGAACACTGTATGCACTGTAGCCACAGCTGCCCTGGGGCACAGGGCATCACAGTACTAACCAGGCCCACTATACGCCCACTTCCAAGCTCAATTACAAGCTGCATTTTTGTGCTTTGAAAGTCACCTATCCCAGCTCTAATTTTGACTTTTTACATATACATGTTATGTTGACATAGAGCGTTTGTCTCACTCACGCTGTCCAGTGAAACAGTTTTGGTGCGATCTGTAGCTCTTTTGTTCTCAAGTTGATGTCAGAAACTTGATAAACAGCCATGTCTCTGCCGCCCTCTAGTGGACGGCGACTGGAGCGACTGGAGCAAGTGGTCGGCCTGCTCCACAGACTGCACCCACTGGAGGAAGAGGGAGTGCACTAACCCTGTCCCCAAGAACGGTGGCCAAGACTGCGAAGGCTCCGCGCTGCAGTCCCAGAACTGTACGGATGCACTGTGTATGCAAAGTGAGTTCAGAGCATCCTCCAATCACACGGACACCGTCACCGCAACCGCCAACAGTACGGACACTGTCACCGCAACACACAATCACACACACACATTATCTGCAAAGGCCAAACCAGAACCATCCGATAACAGCTCTCTCTGTCGCTCCGTCTTACAACTTTTTGCCTCCATCTTAAACGTCACATTGACTTAAAAGAAACATGTTATGCAAATTTGAAACAGTGTCTCAACATTGTTCCTCATCCAAAAAACTGATCTGAAGCTGTTTTTATATCCATACACGCTGATACCAGGACCTTCTGGTAACAGACAAGTAGCTCCAGGCTCTGTAGTGTAATAGAATGATGTAGTTTTACTCAATTCAATTTCAATTGAGTTTATTTTTGTGCCGCCAACAACAGATCAGAGAATCAACCCATCTTCTACTATGACATCATGCCCAGAGCAGTTTTATACCTTTAAAACAAAAGTATTGTGTGAAATTATAATTATTATTATTTTTTTTACAATCACCGGTCTTTAGCCGGAAATTTTTGAATCTGGGAAATTAGCAAAACAAATGTAACTCCTCCCTCTGGTGGTAGCACAGGGAGTTACAGCCGCACAGCATTTATCATCCTTCACACTTGTTTCACCAAATTATTTCTATTTAAGATACTATTTTGCATAAAAAAATAATGCATAATATGTCTTCTCTAAAAAATCACCACTGCACAACAACTAAACACAAGAAACTAAAAAGGGCACATTTGGTTCTGTATACACACTTTTATCACATGTTGTTGGTCAAAAGTCACAAGAGGATTATTATGTTATATTTTACGTTGAAAAAATATTAATTCCATTCATTCTGTCAGAGATAGTGCACTGTTCCCAGAGCTTGTTTGGGAATTTACAGCAATAGAATAATATGATATATTATATTATATGATATGACTATTCTGTGAAAGTAAAAATACTGCGTCCACTGTAGAGTTCATGTAAAGAATCTTCTCCTGAGACAAAACTGTCCTTCGACGGCAGCTGATTGTCACATATTTGATGGACTTTAAATGTTCGTGCTACTGCTCAATTATGCCCTAATGTCTCTTAGCATCCCGGTTGCATTGACTTTTTATTACAAAAGAAAATGAGAAAAGCCTATTATAAAGGCATAATAGGCACTACAATTTATATTCTAATACAATTAAGTGTTGGATTTATACAGCACTTTTTTGGACAATCTAAGAGACTGCTATAAATCCATTGCATACACTAACTACTGCAGTAGCCACAGCTGCCCTATAATTAACAAAAGCTAGGCTGCCATTCCGAGTCATTGTTGGCTCCACTGATTGTTTAGACTTCGACATTTAGAAGTGTCGTTCATAAGGTCATAACAGTTTAGCACTTTACAACCGCACTGTGGCACCTACTGTAATGTTCCTAGAGCAGAGGTCCCCCATCACAGTACAAGCCAGGCCCTGCCCAGTCTGACAGAAATGTGGCTTTCATTTACCATAGAAATGTAAAAAAAAAATTAGCACTTATTCAGCCAGCTCTCTCCTCTATCAAACTACTGCCATGGATTCATTTACACATTTATGTAAACAAAATAAGATGATTGCTCAACGCTTTCACAGTGAGATTAATGGAGGCATCATCGACTGAATAATTGATTCCAAGACCAACGTGGTGCCGACCTCTGACTAGTGTGTTGCTTTGGATGAACTGGAAAACTGGCTGCAAATCCCCACCAGACATACACACAGTCTTATCAGTCATAGATTGAGAGATCCTCTATCCGTCCCACAGTGCGGAAATGTCAGTGTTGCATCAGTTACAGAACAGTAGAAATGAGGAGCACACAACACAAGATAAATGAGCAATAACAATAGAATACAATGAAATCTCTAGCTTAACATAATAGACTAGCAAGAATTTATTTCAAATGTTATGCAAAATAATTCAATGCAAACAATAAACAAGATACAAAATAAAATAAAAAACACGAGACAAAATAAACTCTTTGAAAAAGAGGCTGGACGAAGCAGACGCATATTTGGCTCCAACCCCTCTCATTCATTCAACACAACCCACACAATCACACACACACACAACACAACACACACACACGTGACACCAGCACATGACAAGACACCGGCCCGAACACACTGTCCACACTCATAAGGAAGCAGAATATAATCTCCAAATTGAAAAATAAGAAATTAATTAGAACAATCACATTGATAAAAAATATATACATATTAGTTGATTAGAAGAACCCTAAATGTTATGTATGTATGTACGTGTATTTATGTTATCTTATCTTTTATCTCATTTTATGAATATTGGTATATTAAGGTGCATCTCATGTCCTTACACTGTTGAAATGTACTTGTTTTCCATTACCCCACTTTTTTTTTACTAAAAAAGTGTAAAATCTTATAATTATCATTATAAAGAAGCAAGTATAAGAACAGTATAATCTACTCTAGTGCATGAAATCAGAGTGACAGAGGACACATGTGGTTTAATATTGCACATTCTGATATTATTCAAATTACTATTTCCCCAAATGAGTAAGAAGTGTGAGGAGTATCTTGCCTAAGGACTCTCAAACCGCCTGAATGTACCCACTAGCTAATGCTTTATTACCTGGCTAACGGCTTTTACAAATCCCACCTCCTTCCTCTGCTTTACCTTACAATTTCCTCACCTGTAATTTCGCCTTGTTTCCTCCCATCTGTTTACCATGTTTTAGCCATAAGTGCGTCACATTTCCACGCGGCTCGTATCCATAGCATGACCTGTAATTTACACATGTTCTCGCAGGTTTCACTTTTGTCCTCTCCTTGGAGGCAAATATCCGGTTTGGTATACAGTCACCCCACCGGTAATTTGCCTCACCTCTTGGGAAATATTGGCCGCATCACATCTGGGGACAAATATAGCAGCGCACACACACTTTCTCTCTGAGGTGCAGGCAATTATATTTGTTGACTGTGTGTGTGTGAGGACAGAATGTGTGAAACGGTAGGAACGTTGCGTGGAAAGAAGGCAGTCAGCAATGGCACAGAAATCTGTCACAATTTTGGGGTGTGATTTCAGATTTGAGTGAGTGCAGCTATACACAGCAAAAAAGGGATGCAAAACACCTAACCAGCTAAAAACAGTCTTTTACTAGAATAAGTGGAAACTATGTCTGCCCAGAACACAGTATTGACTAAAGGGAAAAATTGGGTAATCTTACGGCATCTCAGTGTGATGCAGTGAACTTGGCCTGGATAATTCGATTCAATTCAAATAATTTTATTCTTGTATAGCCCTAAACCACAACAGAAGATACTATCTCAGGGTACTTCACCGGCACAGATCAGAGAATCAAATAGTTCAACACAAGTGTCCTGGATCATCGCCTCTGTCCTTCTAGTTAGACCATCGTCAAATAGACTCCCATATAGATTAAGCAAAGAGCATCAGGCTCAATTAACGGGACGGACATTTGTGTGGACAATGGGGAACATGGATTGTTTTGTTGTTTTATTGCTATTTTTTCATATATTGTATATGTATGCTTTGGGAGAGTTCTTTGTACACTGGTTGGCTGCAGCATGGGTGAATAGGCCAGGACAATTGTCTCATGTCTGGGACAACACAGTTTAAATTGAATCTTGAATCTCCTGCATGATAAGAAAAGATAAGAGAAAAGAAACTTTATTCGTCCCACAGTGGGGAAATTTCAATGTTGCAGCTCACATACAGGGCAAGTATAACAGCACACAGAATATACAATACAAGTGGCAGCAATGCTTCTTAACTGGCTGCAAATGCTTCATAAAATTAGTAATTAAACATCAATGTGTAACTATCTATATGGTTCAATTGATAGACATATATGGCAGGATAATAAGTGACATTCAGTGGACATTCTGAAATTGCCTAAAGCATGGAGAATATGTCTTGGCTCATTAAAAAAACATAATTGAAAGTGAAATTGAAAAGCTTCGGTCTCCGTTTGAGCAAATTCAAAAACCGATTTCTCACTGGCGCTATGATTACCCCCTTTTACGACGCAGCGAACGCCTCCTGTTTGTAGCTGACTCTCTTTCTCCCCAATGTCCAGACTCGCTGAAAAAAATCCTTCTCTGCTGATACTGGTCTACGCGTTTATAGATTTGCTCTCATTTCCTCTCATCGATCAGCTGTCAGGGGCCACGCAGCGCTAATGTTGCTGCTGCATCCTGTAGCATTAAATAAATCCATGAGGTGGGCGTGTTGCGGAGGAGCGCTTCGGCGAGGACGGAATGTAAACGTGAAGTCAAGAGGGCACGGAAAGTCTTCATTTCAAAACTATCTGTTCGCCGTAGTTTTACAATTTGTGTTATTGCTGAAGGCCCGCAGCAGCGTCCACCTTGTCCCAGGGTGAGAATCGTGTAATAAAGCTTGTTGACAGCTCATATCTGTGTGTGTTTATATAGCTGGACGGAAAAAATGCTACACTGCAAAAAATAATGAATGCTAAGTCAAAAATAGCTTAAATTTGGCAACATGTATCTAAATTGGTGAACATTGTGACTGCCTTAAAACAAGATTTGCCAATGGGACAAGAAAAATTATTTTGCTTTAAAAAGATACAAGAAATGTCTCTCTTGGAATGAAAAAAAAAATGCTTCTTGAAATGAGACTAATGCAGCCAGCGTAAGTTCAATTTGGTAGACGTCAGCCAAAGGTAACCCCTCCAGGCCGGTTCTCATCCCCAGCCTATCGCACGGCAAACGCCCCCTTCCAATCACCGGTCCAGCCAGGCAAGCTGCTTAAAAGCGGAGGAACTCCCATTCTCGGCCTCTTGAAGCTGCAGCAAAGAGCGAAGCCTTGCAAAGAGTCGTTCTGGAGGAATCGCTTTGTTCTACTCTCACTTACTTCGTGCGTGTCCCTGCTGTCCTCTGTCCTGCTGCGTGTCGTCTGCTCCTCCTCCACGTCGCTGCACCTGCTGCGGGTCTCGTGCTGTGGTCCGTGG